GGGGACCCGCTAGACCCCGTGCAGCAGCAGCAGCAGCAGCTGCTGCTGCTGCTGCATCGCGTTCCTCCATACCCCTAGAGAGGAGCTGAAGGGCCCTCTGTCGAACCACCTACAGGGGAAGGGCCCCCAATGCTGGGGCCCTCCAGCTTAGGGTTTAGGGTTTAGGGTTTAGGGTTTAGGGTTTCGAAGTCTGCTGCAGGGGGGCCCCCAATGGGTGTAAGTAGCTGAAGGGTGCCCTCAGGGAGGCCTTGCTGCATAAGTTTGAATTGAAATATATTAAAATAATCAGGAAAAAAACAAAAGACGAGGAGAGAACGCAGAGAATGTGTGCATGCAGTAGGGGGCCCCCTAGCAGCAAGGCAGGGGAGAGAAGAAGGTAAAGATAAGGTGGCAATGCAGCAGAACAGGGGCCCCCTCTCTGCCTTTAGGTATATGAAAAGGAAAAAAGCAGTGAGATATTTCAAGAGAAATATGCAAATTATATATTATAATTTAATACAGCTCAGCTGGTGCGGTGTATGTAGGGGAGTTGTTGTTGTAGGTGTATGTGGTTTAGGGTTGGTGTTGCTGCTGTAGACAAGTGCAGACCAAGGCTAAAAAAGTAGAAAAACATTGAAAATAGAGTGAAATATAAATTCTTCTGCCTTTGATCGCTTACTTTTCTTCAATTATTTCTCTCGTTTTACCCTTTTTATTATACGAAACCGCATGCAGAATTCAAGAACAGCCACCACCTGCTGCAGCCGTCTAAACATACACGGCTTGCTGCTGTTCTTACTTTGATCTTCTCTTTGATTTATATATAATTGAATGAAAAATACAAAAAAACAATTAAAAATATTCAAATCACTGCAAGATGGCGGCTAGCAAAGGCATTCGATTGACTGAACAACATCTCAAGCTTATCTAGTACGGCGGATCTTCATACAAATTGCTGCTTTCTTTGCGTTTGTATTTTCTTTTTAAATATAAAAAAACGTTTTTCATTTAAAAGAATATCTTTTTTCAAACAATTTATTCTTCTAGAGATGCTGCGGCTGCTGAGTCCTGTTTCTATCGCGCGTTATTCAGGTGTATGTGCAGCTTACAATCCTTTGTTTCTGAATAAGTTGAATCTTTTGTTTTTATTGTGTTTCTTCATTCATTTGTTTGCATTGAATACTTTTTATCCTTATTATTACTACGCTTTTCTTCATTTTTATTCACCTCCTCTCGATCGATTCTCTGGCTTTGCCTCCTTTCTGAATTATTCTTCACTTTTTGCTGTTGTTTGCAAAAACATTTCGTCTAATTCTTTGAGTTTTTCTCTTCTCTTTGTTCTTCTGCTGCAGCGACACATTTCTCTTGCTCGATGATGATAAGGATGGATTAATAGATAAGAATCAGGTGCGTTTCTTTTTTTGCTGTTGTTTCTCTGCAAGAAAACAGAGGAAGATACATTTCAAAAGATGCATTTGAACCATAATGTATAATTAGTTGGTCCTTAATTAATTCATTTATTGAGGGAAACTTGAGGAGAAAAACTCTACAGCAATTCTAAATATATCAAAGACTACCCAGAGGCTTTCCTATATTCAGAAACGGAGCGTTGTGTATATTATATATATATTATATATAACGATGTTATATATATATATATATATATATTATATAACGATGTTATAAATATATATATATATATATATGTATATTATATACACCCGAGACTCCATTATGCGTTTGCTTTTAAATTGTTTTTATATTTTATTTTGCAGTTTTTTACGCTTTTTCGCGCCTTAGGGCAGACTGTCTCAGATGCAAGTCTATCGAAGATATTTGCAGGTAGGATTAAGTGTGTATTCTTAATAATAGAATTATCTTTAATATGAGTTGCTGCAAGCTATGCTTGTCTTTCTCTCCCTTACTCTCTTCTTTTATCTCTTATTGACTTACTTTCTTTGTCTGTGTTTTATTCGTATTTTTTAGCTGCACTTGCAGAAGAAGAGAAAAATGCTAAAAGTAAATCAACAGACCCAACTGCAAAGAAAGCAGCAGCAGCAGGAGCAGCAGCAGGAGCAGCAGCAGGAGCAGCAGCAGGCGCAGCAGGAGCTGCGAAAGCAGCAGCACCGACAGCTTCTCCCGGTAATTTATTTATTTATTTATTTATTTATTTATTTATTTATTTATTTATAAGCGAATAAATAGCTAAGATAGGGGGCATTCTTCTTATTGAATTTGTTTGCTCTTCATATAAGAAACGCCTTCTTACATGCATGCATAAACTTTACTATTCTTTTTCTCTGGTTTTGTTTTTTTGCTGCTTCTTTCTGATTACTTTTATTTGTTTTGCTGCTGTTGTTGTTTCTGTTTGCTTGTTTTTATTTGTTTTGTTTGTGTTTTTATTCTTAAGAATATTAATATATATTTATATTCATACATATATTTATTTTTTAGTGTATATGTACAAATATATATATATATATATATATTGATATACATCTAATGAGTAATAAGGATTGAAGGCAAATAGCGTTTATTTGATGTCTTTGTTTGTTTTTTCTTTTTTATTTTGTTTTATTGTTTTATTCTTCTTTGAGTGGGTGCAGAGTGTAGACAAAATGTTTTGTTTATTTTGCGCATATAAAGCACAGAAAAATATGAAGATGATATATCTTTGACAATATCTTAATTAGTTTTTTTTCTACTTTTGTTTGTTTGTTTGTTTGTTTGTTTGTTTGTTTGTTTGATATTGTATTAGAAGGAGTGTCGTTTCAGCAATTTGCACGGACATTTGCGGAGACATATCAAAAGCCTTTGACAGAATCTGCGCTAATAAATGCATTTAATGTCTTTGATGCAAACAATACTGGGAAGTTAACTCAAACTCAGCTGCACGAAATACTTACAAAACGAGGAGAGGCGCTAACTAAAGAAGAAGTAGAAGAGTTAATGCTGCTGGCTGCCTTAGGGCATGCAAAAGAAACAGATTATGCTCTACTTGCTAAAAGGTATATCTAAATAAATTAATAAATATAAATAATAATATTAATTTTTATATTTATTTCCTTACCTATATATACATATATATATGTATTTATTTATTTATTTTGATGTGCGGGTTATATATACATATATATATATATATATATATATTTACATTTATATTTATTGTTTTATAAGCATAATATTATTTATATTTGAGCAGAATGCTGCATGCATTTATTTTTCTGCAAATAAATTTTTTTTGTTTTGTTTGTTTGTACAGGTTGGTGAAGGGCCCCGCAGGTATATCTACAATCGACTCTACTTAATTATTTTCTTGTCTATATATATATATATATATATCTTTATATATATATATATCTTTATCTGTATATATATATACTATAAAGATATTAATAATCTGTATAGAGGCCCTTCAAAGTGTAGATGAGAGCAAAGAAAGAAAATTTTATCTCTGTGTATATTATTATATTTAATTACAGGTTTTAATTATATTATATTATTTTTTGTTAACTCTCTTTGTCTCTATTTACAGCAGCAAATTAATGTACTTCTCTTTAAATTGATATACGCTGCATGCACAGAGAAATATATGCAGCTCTGAACTTCTTTTATTTTTTAAGTTTGTAGAATTTAAACTTAATTCTTTATATCTTAAAAATATATTTACAACAATATAATATATATATATGTATATATATATATATATATATTAATATAGTAATAGTGTAGTATGATAATAAACAAAGACAGAAAATAAATAAATATATATTTCATCTTCTATGCTCAACAAAGATGTGCGCTCAATGCACTCAGAAGAGATGACCGTAAAGGCTTTTGATAAATGCTGCAGCAGCAGCAGCAGCAGCAACAGCAACAGCATCAGCAGCACTTGCAGCAGCAGCACCAGCACCAGCAGTAGCAGCAGAAATAGCAGCGACAGCAGTAGCAGCAGTAGCAGCACAACTAGCAGCAACAGCAGTAGCAGCAGCAGTAGCAGCAGCAGTAGCAGCAGCAGCAACTAGAGCATTATGTAGAAGACAGTGAAGGTAAGGGGGTATAGCAGCTGCAGCACTGTGTATAGAGTTGTTGAGATAAGAACAGAATTGCCTCTATTTAATTCTATTAAATGAAGCTGCACTTTTTATTTAAAAAAAAAACAAACAAACAAACATAAAAATCGGCATCGCCGTATCTGCTTTACAACTGATAGCTTGAATAGTAATAAAAAATATAAATAAATAAATAATATTAATAAATAATATTAATAAATAAATAATATTAATAAATAAATAATATTAATAAATAATATTAATTAATATATTTGTTAATATAAAAAAATTTATTCGTTAAATTTATAAATATTTATTTGCTGTTGCCTTCCGCATCGAGTTCAGGTGTATGATGACCTCAGTCGATGTGGGGTGTATAAATGCATTTTATTCTTCTTTTTGAAATATAAAAACGAAAATATTAAACTATTTAATTATTTTCAATTATATTTTGAAGAAAAAAAAGAAAAAATATATATATTAGCTGCACAATACCGCGCTGCTTGCGGTGCGGTGTCTGCAGCAGCAGCAGCAGCAGCAGCAGCAGCAACAGCAGGAACAACAGAAAAAATAAAAACTCTGCTTCAATTCTTGGATAATTTGTGTTGAATTGCTTTGATAATATATTAATTTAATTAATATAATTGATTAATTCTGCATATTTCTTTATTTATCCTCTCATATAAAATAAAACATTTATAATAAACACCTGAACACCCCCCAACCCCTCTTCTGAAACAGTTGCATTATCCTCTGGATAATTGTTTTTGATTATTTTGTGTCTTTGCGTTGTATATTTACATTTATTTGACTTCTCACGATGTATACACTTGAGATATTACCTTTAAAAGAAGAAGCAAGGGCTCTATATGACGGGCATTGTACCTTTCATGAGGGTGATAGCGGTTTAGATCTATTTATTCTTGAAGAATGCACAATAGAACCAGGAGAAACAAAGTTTCTAAGACTCGGTATTGCTGCTGCTATGCGAAACAATGCACAAAAATCTGTCTCTTGGCTTCTACTTCCTCGCAGCTCTATCTCTAAGACCCCCCTCCGACTCGCAAACTCAGGTCAGCTATAAATTAGTAAATATACTAATAAATAAATAAATAAATATATATGTATATATTTACATTTATATATACACGTATATATATATATGTGTATGTATTTATAAGTATGCATTTATTTAATATAAATATGTATATAAGTCTGTATATATATATATATATATATATGCGTATATTAATATGTGCATACACATAATGTTTATACACTTATGTATATAAATATATA